TTGGAACTCATATTAACATAAAAGAAGGAGTATGGCTTATCATCTACCGCTTTATGATACATATTTAACAGTTGCTCTTTATCAACGATGGCGGAGTTTTCCTCAATGAATGACATTAAGTCTGATACATTCTTTAACTTGAAGATATACAACGAACTAGAATTCAACCTAATGATTGGTGCTAGGACACGACATTTTTGAACGCTTAAACAAAAACTATTGGCATCGTGCCTACCTCTCGTTGCCAGTCCATGAAGTAACTTACTATATCTAACAAATTTAGGGTCGTCTGCAAAATCATCAACTATGATTAAAATTGAATGTAGTTTCTTCATCTTCTGTTCTTTCATATAATGAATTATCTTTCTTTGTGTGTTAATTATTTCTTCCAGTTCTTCAGGTTGGTAGGTGTCATAATATAACTTTTTTTTTCATCATCAACCTTTATATTATCTTTTTGATATTTCTTGACTTCAACGAAGGTAGGGTCATTATGAACAGACGGGCTAAAAATGAATATACGGGCGAAGCAGTCCCTATAAACATTTAGGATAAGGTTTTGGATTAAAACAGTTTTTCCACCCGTTGATGAAGCAACAACAATTGAGCGAAAAGGTAGTTTTGGTACATGTTCATGTTTAGATTGTTTGAAATTGTAATCAGTTATATTTATTGGTTTTATTATTGGAACATCAGACATAATAAAATAATATTAAAGTTATTTAGAAAATATTTTATATTTATTTTCTATATGAATAGAAGTTATTCAGATTATATTGATATAATAGATAAAGTAGAGAATATAGAACAAGTTGTTATAACTGATAATAGATGTAAGAAAGTATGCTATTTTGTTTTAGAATTCATTAAGTTTGTGATACAATATATTAAAAATATAAATATTAATATAGATGGGAAGAAAGAAAAAGAATAAGACTGAACCAGTTGTTTCTTCAACTGATGAAGAAATTGTTAAAGAAACATCAGTTATTGAGTTTGCTTGTCCAATGTGTAAAAAGTATTAGAAATGAAGAGTGAATTAGAAATACAAAAGAAAGGAAACTGCAAATGTTCGTGTATTCCAACAAGTTTCAAAATAAGTAAAAATGATAAGAAAATGAATATTGATAAAACTAAAGACAGTATAAATTTAGAAACAGATGTTCAACAAATAACTTTTAAATGGGGAAGACATGCATCGCCATCCGATAATTGTGATAGGGAAACACAGGAAGCTGTTAAACAAATAATGAAAAATTAATATTTAAAGAGTAGATCTAACATAATTGCAACATTTAGTTTAAAAAGTTTAGTTATATAATTTAGTATATATATGGAAGAGCATTTAGAGAACATCGACAGTAGTTTGGAGTTGTTGTTTCCAAGATTAGAAAAAGTGTTGGAGCAAAATGAAAACATTCTGAACATCTTAAAGAGCATGAATATTAAACCTACATATAATAACAATAACAATTATCAAGCAAAAGAAGTAGATAGAGACAGTAGCGAATACAAAAATAAACGAAACATTTATGTGAAAAAACTGAATGACAAAGTCATAAAAGAACCTAAACAATCAAGTCTGGATTACTATCAAGTCAAGTATAAAGAAGACACCAAGAAATACGTTTAATCATTAACTAACAAAATTTCGTGTCTCAAAAGCGGTTTGTTTATTCCTGCTACCTTGTAAGTTTTATTACTCATAATATCATATTCAATTTTATCAACATTGAATATTTTATTAGACCATTTAGAGTTATACTCCTTTCTGTCGGTGTAATTACCCCTTTTCTTTTGGAATACTTTTACCTTGTCGTTCTCCTCTATTCTGGGATACTTTCTTTTGTTTTTTCTCGTAGTTTAAGATTGACCTTTACATGTATTTCATTGTCGTCCTTGTGTGCTTCAGACGGTGTCATCCTTGTTGATGAGTGTGATGTGCTGTTATACTGTTTCAATGCTGGCGTTAGGGCGTCGGTCCATTTCATGTTGTTAAACCTAACTCTGTCGTGAATTTTATTTTTCATCGTTCTAATAAAACGCTCGGCTACATTTGCGTGGGTCTTCGTGACGATGTGGTTTATTCCTTCACTGTTGAAGAAATCCTGAACTTGATTTTTAGTTGCAAACGCGCCATCGTCATCAGAATACACGGACATCGGATAACCCACCTTTTTAAAGCTTGCTCTCAACGCCTTCAAAACGTGCTCTCCGTCTCTTTCCTCCACCGGTAGTACATAAGCTAATTTACTGAAGATGTCAATCACAACTAAAGCATACTGTGGAACGTTCTTGTCTTTTGCTAAAGGTGACATATGCATTATGTCTATTTGATATTCAAATCGTGCGAATGGAGCGGTATAGGAATTAGTACCTCTATAATTTTTGATTTGTGTATTCGGCTGTTTCTTTAAGAAAGACTTTACATCGTCTAATGTTATTGTTGGGTCTTCTTCCTTTGCCTTCTTGTGTGTCGCTTGTGTGCTTCCGAAACCCTCGTCTAAGTCGTAATAGATGTTGCTGATTACTTGGTCTTTTGTTAATCTCGCCATTATATTAAATTATTAGGAAATAATTTTATCAACATAAACCCCGCCCCTTAACATAAAATAATAACTACTTAAAGAAAAATTAACTTATTATATTAAGTGAAAATATGGCTGGAATAAGATTAGAGGACTTCAATTTAGAAAATGTCGGAGTTATTGCTGATTTATGAAACTTGACGCTATCAGACGAAGAAGATGATGATATTGACAGAAATAAAGGATTTCATCAAAAGACACCCTTTACCATCAGTTGATGAAAACGAAGAACTCTGGAAAGATGTCATTAACAGGTTTAGGGATAATAGCAGATTAAACTTGATAACAATATACTCATTTGTTAGGTTTGACATCATGAAAGAAATGTATGAAAACCTAACGGACGAAGACATCATAAAAGACTGCGGTAAAAAGTTAAACCGAGATGGAAAGATTAAAGCAATGATTATTAACCACGATATCTTATCAGGAGCGATACGGAAACTAAACAAAGAAGACAATCTAGTAGATGAACAGATGCGAATTATTGAATTCTGGTGGGATGGAATAGGTGAATGGAAAGCGTGAGTGATTTAGTTTAATGATATTATTCAATCATAATATGATTAAACCTAGTTTTTATAATCTAACAACAAGGTTAAGACATTCAAATTAAATCTGAAACCCAAACCAGCCGACCAGCAACCCCCTAGCCAAAACTACTTAAAGAAATATGGATATAATATAGTAAGAGAAAAAATGACACTATTTAATTTTGATAATTGTCCTTGTAAAAATAAAAACTGTAAGTCTGTCGTAGCACTAGCAAATATTTTACATGATGATGTTTGTAATCTTATAGGTGATTATATTAAACCAACATGTTTTGATTGTAGGTATTTGATGGGTGAAGAAGAGCATTTTATGAGAGATAAAACCATTCCTGAAGCAGGGCTGGAGAAAGCAGAACTTCAATTAACAATTATTGAACAAATGCAAAAAATGATATTACACATCTAACAGGAAATCATTCTGATATGAATCAATACAGAAAAATCATTGACAGAATATTTGATAAACAAGAGGTTAAAGAAAGATTTAAAACAAGAAAAATGTATTATCAAGCATTAAAATCATACTGTAAAAATATCAGTCATGACGTTAGTCTAATTTTAGGGGAATGTATTAAAATTGAACAATTAACATTTATGAAAAATAATGATTTTAACTTTCCTAACCTAAACACCTACTGGTCATATAGAAATAACAATTATTATATGAGACATAGTCTTAGCGAATTAATTGAAATTTACACAGACCAATTAATAAAAGGATACGAGCATTATTGTTGTGAGTATAGTATGAGTTGTTATAGTGGTTGTATCGCTGGTGAGATTGAATACGGGACAAATTAACTTTTGTTTAGTAATATGATTATCTTATAATATGATTTTTATAATCTAACAAGAAGGTTAAGACAGGTAAATTAAACATGAGACCCAGACCAGCCAACTAGCAACCCCTAGCCAAAACTACTTAAAGAGAAAAAACCCTATATATGAAGAGAAAAATGAGTGAGGGTAAAATGTCAGAGAATAATTTTATGGTTGAGAATTGTGCTAGCTTACCTATGGAAGCATTGTTAAACATCGCTTCTTACATGATTGGCAATGAAGGGTGGCAAAGACTAAAACAGTGTAAAGCATTAAGGGTCTTACAAAGGAAATGGAAACCGTCTATTTTTGAACGAGAAGGAGAAAGCAAATATTTTGTGTTGATTAGCAATATATGTTTGAAAGGTGAGAAAGCACTTTCATATGCGTTGAAACCACCAAAAGAATTATTAAGAATGATGAAGTATGATGAAGAAATAAAGGTTGGAATAGAAGTTAGTTCGAACATTATGTATAAGAATAATATTTGCAACTGTAGTTCTTTTGCATCAAGCAAACAGAACAAGATAACAAGTAGAGCGTCATTACAATTTTATATTGAACAAATAGTTGAAGAAATAAAACAGACTATGAAACGATACGAAATCATTACTATAGAACATATTTCATTTGACATTCTTACATAACAGAAACAATGATTTCATGGCTTAATCATAATACTTAACTATAATATGATTAAACAGTGTAAACTTTTATAACCTTTCATTATACTGTAATTTCAACCTATAACAAAATTTCAATGACAAAACATACATCAAAACAAATACATCACCAACACCCCAGAACTTGATAACTACTAAAAGGGTTAACTCTTTCAAATGAAAAAAATGTCGGCCCCCAGCCCAACAATGAACAAGGTGAGAATTTACCCAAATGATTACCTTAACGAAAACGATAAATAAACTCAAAAACACCCTTTTCAAAGCGAAGAAGGGGGGACACCGGGCCCCCCCTTTTTACAATTTTTCCCCCAACCCCCCCAACCCCCCCATACCCCCCACCCCCACCCCCAGGCGCGATGCCGCCGGGGCCGGAGTTCCCCATCACGCCCCGGGGCGCCGGGCAGAGGCTCAGGAGTTCCGTGAGGCGCGCCGTCGAGCTCCAGCGGGCGGCTTTGGTGTCGGTTTTTTGGCCGGTTTTTTGTGGGGGGGATTTTTGGGACACGTGTTTGGCGGTGTTTGGCGTTTTTTTTGTGCCTTGTTGCGGTTTTGGCGGTTTTTGGCGGTTTTTGGCGGTTGTTTGGCGGTTTTTTGGTGGTTTTTGGTGGTTCTGGTGATTTTGATGGTTTTGGTGGGTTTGGTGTGTGTTTTCATCTAATTTTCCATGGGGTGGATCAATATTCCACCTGGGGCCACCCACATGACCATAAGTAACTTTCGTTCCATGCCATGGGTTTTCAAGTCGACTTGCCAGTTTGCACTCTCACTCAAGATAGACATAGTTTACGATACCGACTTTCCATTTTGTTTGTGGTGACCCCTCACTCAAGAGCAGAAGAAGATGTGATGCGTTTCCTTTTTTACTTTCCATTTGCCCTTGGCGACCCCACACTGAGAAACAAAAAGCGATGCATGTCTTCTCTTCTCGGACGGCGAAGGTGGGGAGAAGTGCCTATGAAGCGCTGTTGATGTCTCGTGCAGTCTTTGGTGTCTCCTTGGGGAACCATTGCGACACCTGAAGTTGCAAGCTGGGGCAAGAGGATGGGTCACGAGGCCTGTAAAGTGTGGACCACGCCAACTGACACTTCGTTTAATTTATTTTTCGAGAGGGCGAGCTGGAAACCAGAGCTTTTCTAGTTCAGCATGTGCGGTAGTAGGTGGTTGAAAAGGGGGCGAATTGGTTGCTTGGTCGGTCGGCCTGTCGGTTGGGTGGTTGCTTGCTTGCTTGCTTGCTTGCTTGCTTGCTTGCTCGCTCGCTTGCTTGCTCGCTCGCTTGCTTGCTTGCTGGTTGCTTGCTTGCTTGCTTGCTTGCTTGCTTGCTTGCTTGCTTGCTTGCTTGCTTGCTTGCTTGCTTGCTTGCTTGCTTGCTTGCTTGCTTGCTTGCAAGCTTGCTTGGTTGGCTGGTTGCTTGCTTGCTTGCTTGCTTGCTTGGTTGCTGTTGCTTGCCTGCTTGCTTGCTTGCTTGCTTGCTTGCAAGCTTGCTTGGTTGCTTGCTTGCTTGGCCGCAGGTACTTTGGCAGCTTGATCGTGATCCCCACGGTGCGCGAGCACCAGTCCTCGGCGCGGGCGCCAAGGTTCCATTGTTTGACTACCCGAAATAGCTTGATTCATTTCTGGGGGTAAGTCAAAAACCGGGGCGGTTTCCCTTTAACCCAGGCAGAATTCAAAACGGTTTCACCATACGGATGGGACAAAAAGGGGCGACTTGACTCACTGCAGCTGTACCAACTGACCCACACCTAGAGAACCTCAGAATGCTGCTACATGTAATTCGACACCACAGTGCGTGCGGCTTCCTTCAACACCTGTACTGCAATCAGTATTCCCCCAATCTAAATTTCCCTCCAAAACAATTCGGCCAAACTCGCAAAACCTGCAGGAACATCACCCTTTCGAAGGCCAGAACTGAAGAACTCGTTTCTGGCTTCCTTCTCACTCAACTACTCAATGCACCAGGTCCTTCAGCCTGAAAAACAACTCTTGACAGTAGTCTTACCCCTTAAAACTCCAAGCCCTGGGGAAGTTGATCTTTTACACACATATAGCCCATGTTACCCAAAAAGTTGAAAAGTTGTGCTTTAAGAGGTAAGTAGTGATAGATTCCCTTTAAAACCAAACGCGGAAAATCAAACACATTCCTGTACGCAAATGGAAGCTCAACAACGCATGCCCGCCTCACCCAGCTGGTCAGGATCCGAACAGAGGTGTGGGTCTTGCCGGTGCCCGGTGGGCCCTGCACAATTGTGAGCCTGGCAAACTCGGTAGGATCCACCCGCTTCACAGCCGGAAGCAGCCGTTCAAGGTTCGTTTTGGGGTCCTGATTGAGACCATGTTCCTTTTAAAGAGACCGGGACCCGTACGTCAGGTTCCATGCTAGTACCCAGCAAGTGACACTGTCTGCTGGTTCTTCATGTTTGAAAGTCCCTTTCTTGTCTATATATATATATATATGCATAATAGACGTATATTTGGAGATGTGATCGCGGAGAATCATACAAGCGAACCAGTTTGCTAGCTGACACAACGAACATGCACCTCATGAACTTCTTAAACAAAGGGAGGTTCAATAAAGGTCGGCTTTGGACCAATTCGAAACAGAAACTGCGTAGTCTCTCTCTGACCTTCAAAAATGGGGGGTAATTACCCAAAAGAAAGGGGTCCAGGTGCCCCATGTTTGAGTCAAAAGGAGACTCCAGGTAAGAACACTACGCCCGTCAAGCGCAGAAGAGGCAGAAACATTGCAAAAGCCAAGGCTGGCTGAGTGTCCTTCCCCCAAACTCGCCACGGCCCATGTGGTCAGCCTATATTGTGCCGCGGCATTGCATGCCAGGTTGCTCACTCCCCTCACTCCCCTCACTC